TGAAACCTTGGCAGAAAATTACCTAAAGTGCTGTTTCAAGAATCACCTGTATCACCTGTATCCGCGTTGATCATCGTGTTGCACGAGCGGGTACTATTGATGCCTCCATTCGTCCCTGTCTCGGGCGATTGTTGACCAATGTTTACGTATCGCACCAGGAACACGTGGAACGCGCTGAAGGACTTCATTAAAGGACTTCGTGAACATATCTGACCATCGCGTCGGCGGTCTTCCTCGTTCGCGTTTGACGTCCAGTGGTATCCAATCTGTTACAGCTCTCGTCCACCGGTTGTCGTCGAAACGCATTACGTGTCCGGCCCATCTTGTCTTGTTCTGCTTGGCGTACGCGGCAGCGTCCCTGATCGTCGATCATTGACGTAGGGTAGAACTTCGTAATCCTTGCCTCACTGGCGTGAGTCGATTCACTCCTAGCATCACTCTCTCAACAGCTCGTTCGATGACGCTAACCGCGTGTTCATCCTGCTTTCTCATTGTCCATGTTTCTGAAGCGTACGTCAAAGCAGGAAGAACCGTCGAGTTGAAAAGGTGGGCGCGGAGCCGGATGTTCTTGGTCTTCTTCACTACGTCCTCAATTGTCTTATATGCTCCCCATGCTGCACGTTTCCTCCTGCTCAGTTCCGGAGCTAGATCGTTCATCATATTGAGTTCACGACCTAGGTAGGTGTAGCTTGAGCATTCGGTGATGTTCGTCCCGTTGAGCATGAAAGGAGCATCAGGCACTCTTCCGTTCCTCATGAACATCGTCTTCGTTAGATTCAGCCGTAGACCGATCTTTCCACACACTTCGTCAAACTGGGCCAGCATTTGTTCCGCCTGCGTGATGCTTGGTGTTATCAATACGATGTCATCAGCAAAGCGAAGGTGGTGTAGCTGCCGGCCGTCAACTTTCACTCCCATGTTGTCCCATTCCAACTTACGCATGACGTTCTCCAGAGCGGCACTGAATAGTTTCGGCGATATAGTATCGCCTTGTCGCACGCCTCTCTTCATGTCAATGATGATGTCCTTGTAGAATGGTGTTATGGTGGTTGTGAAGTCGTTATACAGCTCACGAATTATCTTGATGTAATGAGTCGGAATACCTTGATTGCTCAAGGCATCGATGACGGCTTCAGTCTCAACCGAGTCAAAGGCCTTCTTCAAGTCGATGAAGGTGAGACAGAGCGGCATCTTATACTCTCGTGACACTTCAATGAGCCTTGACACCGTGTGTATGTGGTCGATCGTGCTGAATCCTCTTCGAAACCCAGCTTGCTCGCATGGTGGTCCTTCGTCCAACTCTCTTCCGATCCTGTTGAGAATGACTCGCGTAAAGAGTTTGTAGACTACAGACAACAAACAGATAGGGCGATAATTGCCGATGTCGCAGGGATCTCCCTTCTTGTACAGCAACACGGTTTTGCTGGTCTTCCATTGCCTTGGAACCTTGCCTTCCGTCAGGTACCGCGTGAAGAGCCTTGCCAAAGTCTTGATAAAAATTGGCGAAAGATTCTTCAGATGTTCTGGCTTAATCCTGTCGGGACCGGGTGCTGTACGGTTTTTCATCGACATGATAGCATGACGAATCTCGGAAGGAAGAACAGACGGTGCGACATACTCGTCCTCCTTGAGATGGCATGGTGGAAGGTGGACGTGGCTCGCAAAAAGATCCGAGTAGAAGTCGTGGATGACCTTCTCCATTGATCTTCGGGAAGCAGTTATGGTTCCGTCAGGACGACGAAGTGCGGTCATCTTTGTCTTGAAGTTGACGAAGCTTCGGCGGGCGTTGCATATACTTCTTCCAGCCTCCGCGGCGTCAACCGTCAACCGGCGTTTCAAGAATATCGTGCTCAATTCTCACAATAAAGGCAATTCGTGTGGTATAAAAGTCCTATAAGGAAAGACACGACATTCCCTTATAGGACCACTGCCGCGCGCGAGACACCCTTCGGCGGCTTTTGCCTAAGCAAAAACAGGGGGAGGGAGATTTGCCGCGTGCGTTACCATTGGGACAGGTTATCTTTCCTTATAGGATCACCGCGCGCGATACACCCTTCGGCGGCTTTTGCCTAAGCAAAAACAGGGGGAGAGAGATTTGCCGCGTGCGTTACGCATTGGGACAGGTTATCAGGATGGCGCTGGAGACCGCCATGCAAAACGACCGTTTCCCCACCTCTCGAATATCTGGGATTTAAATTGGCCCGAAAGCGAAAAAATGTCCATTCAAACCCTGCAATTCACCATAACTTCACTGCGTCATGACAGCGAGCAAGCATTATATTCATAAGCGATATACTTGTGAACCGTCACAAGTAAGGTTTTGAGCAAATCTGGAACTTCGACCAATCTAACACTTATCGTAACCCAAGAAAATGCACTATCCTGCGAAATTAGCATGATATGCATGTTCAGCGCGCTAAATGACCACCTTAAACGAAGTTTAAAGCAAATCTATGTTTTCGACCCCATGCCATATAACCATCATAACTGTCATAGATCATCCAAATAATCTACAACCTTTAGCAATGTAAATCTATCTTGTATGTTATATTATTCAATAGCTTGTCGTTGACAAACGTTACTGTTCACTGACCACTTAAGCCGTCAGGTCAGCTCTCCCCTATGCTTGATAGTCTACTTGGCGGCGCCTACTTTCTTGTAGGCAATCCTTGATTCCGTATGATACTATTGTTTGCCAGGAATGAGCATTCAGGTTAACCACGCCCATTATAGTGGCATAAAAGGACCTGAATACTCAGTTCTGGTGTTGGTTCGATTAATACCATTATCGTCAGCGGCTGTTCCGCATTATTCACTGTTGATAGTGTGCGGGCTCCGCTACTATCTAATAAACAGTTATATAACGTAGTGGTACAGCTTGCTGTATACCAAATTGTCGATAATAATAAAATGATTATCGACCATTATTGTTATATTGTATATTTTCTTGTCGTTGACAAACCTTCCTAGCGTGAAACACTTAAGCCGCCAGGTCACCCCCCATTGCTGCTTTATAGCACACTTGGCGGCTATTACTTTCATTAAGCACCGTTTCGAGCGATACCTGTACGATACTACTTTGCCAGAAGAAAGCATCTAGGTTGCCACGCCCAAAATATTGGCATAATTAGACCTGGATGCTCACTTCTGGGTCGTCTCGCCAAATCTACATTCCACTGGAATTGTTCCCCGAATAACAATTTCTTCAACGTAGTGGCACCCAATATTGGTTAACAACAAAACAACTCTATGAAAAGGTCCCAATATGCAGAGGATGATATTCGTAATTAGCATGTCGAATAAGCCATATGGACCGAACTCCAGCCGAATTCATGATTTTGACTTCCTACCGTACACCTATCGTAACCACACGAAAGACGTTCTGCGGAGAAAGTGTGATATTTGTAATCAGCATATAAAGGGTCGGGCATACTTCACGTGATTTCAGTCGCGACGCGATTTGGCAATTCGCAAAAAGTTTTCGGATCCAACATTAGCAAACTGCACATGCATAATGTGTGAGCTTACGTAAACTGATGAAATGCCCTATCTTCTGTACATTTATAATGTGCTTACAATGAGTTATGGACACCTGGAATATTGCCAAATCGCGTCGCGAATGAAATCGCTTGAAGTATGCCCGACCCTTAAGATAACCCTTATATACTAAGTTTGAGCAAGCTCTACCACAATTTGGGGCCCGGGTAGCCGAATAGCGCCAAACTAATATCGAACTCGTAATCAGCATGCTCGATTACCCCCCTGTGCCAAATCCCAGCCCCGTAGCTCAAACTTTGCAAAAAAATCGATAAAATCGATAAAAATAACGGACGATTCCAAAAACTAATATGTAATCGTAATCAGCATGCTCGATTACCCCCCCCCCTGTGTCAACTCCCTGTAGCTCAAACTTTGCAAAAAAAATCGATCAAAATTGATAGAATAGATATCAATCGATGACGAAAAGTAGCCTAGCCTACACCCGCCCGGCCCCGAAGTGTTTGTATGCCAAGTTTGGTCCGGATCGGTTCAGAAATAAAAATTTTTATTCGGAACATACGTACATACAGACACACATACATACATACAAATAGACATTCAGCTTTATATATAAGAATATCCAGTTTTTCATAGTCAGCTGCATAAACTGCACAAATTTATAAGATAAATGGGAAGTAGTGAGAGAGGGGGGTCGAAAGGGGTCAGAAGGGATTCTGTAAAAATTTTAAAAATCGAAGGGGCTCCTTCGTTTCAAAATCTCCCTGCTTCCAACTTGCCAGAATATTTTCACTTATCGTGATCTCACTGACCCTTCTTTTGGCGGAAGAGGCATTCCGTCCTCTTGATAAGCCCCTACAGCAAGTCGAAATTTCCGTATGGCTGGTTTTGATTTCGCGCATCCAACAGAGAAAAAGTAACAGAAAACTTATTCTGCCTGCGTACTGGAATCAATTTTATAAAAGGTCTTGACTCTTCGAAAAAAACGCAAATGAGTCAAAACTCACCCTTTTCCTTGATTTATTTCAGTAGTTACTGTTTGAAAAGTGTAACATAAAGCATAACTGACACTATGCCAATAGCATAAGCGAGGGCTTATGCTGTTGACATAGGTTTCATATGAAGGAGATGTGAAAACTATCTGCGCAAGATTTCATGCATAACAAAATTGTTGAGAACTGAAAGATCAATGGCTCCCAAAGTCTATTGGCCATAGCTCAGTACCAGACGAGGAACGAGTGTAAACGTGGTTAATTTACGGTCTACCTTCTTTGAGGCTCCCAAAGAATGTTCAAAGGGTACAATATTCAACATTTACCAAGTGTGTGTGCTGTGCGTCGCCTACATTGTAGCTGGGAGGAAACACTACACGCTCCCAAGGTTCATGATCATATCTACAAAAATAAAGTAATCATATAAATCTCAGTGCACATGACAGCTTTTGATATTCTCGCTCACGGTGTTGGTGTTTTCGTGCATGACAAACATGCCATTCCGTCAGCTCAAAGTATTGTTGGTGTTTTCTGCCGAAGAGGGAACACTTGAAGCTTAATTTCATGTTCCGGCTTAACACAGCTTTCATTTCTATTTTTCAAAGAGTATTTGTATCCTTCGCTTCTGAGGTATTTTTTTGCTTCCCCACGGTTCCACACTAATCCGCATGAAATAGCACGAAGGTAATCTCCTTTATTGCTGATGAAGCCTATAAATATTTTTTTACGCTGTGGTATATTAACTCGTTGAACAGTTTGATCGAAATATCTAACCTCCAATAAAATAAGATCTATGTGTTTCGAGTTTAAGTGTACATGGATCGTCTGCTGTGCTGAGAATGTAGCTAGGAAGCGATCCTTCTATTTGTTTCTAAATTGCACTTCAAGCCGAGAAAGAAAAACACGGTAGTATCACTTACTCTGAATGGGCGTATGAATTGAACGTGATATTTGAGCTCTTTCACAGAAGCTCCATCACCTCCTATAGCAGACATATTCCAATAATTATACGTCACTTCTTCCATAGAGAGAACATATAAGTTGGCAACTATAATGTTGGTGGACTGCCTTGGTTAAATTTTCTGTTTCTTCTCTAAACTTTGTTTGGCAACTGTGTCACACTGTAGATCCCTATCGGTAGCGTTTGGGCAGATCTGAACCTGTGGGTTCTTTCAGAACAAGTAACCTCGAAAGGATGGATTCCGATGATTTATATAGTATGTGCCTTACACACCTTCCCATAAGTACCTACGTGACGCTCCCACACACATGCCTTGAATGCGCTTTTCGTTCTAGCCTCTGATAATTTTGCTTGCCTTTCGTATTGACTTTGTTCTGCTCTGAATCTTTCTATTTTAGGTTCAAACGGCTCGCGACAATTGCCGGTGTTTAGTTTGTAAGAGCGTTCACAGTTTTGAGAGCTTTTGTTCTCAAGAAGTTCTCGTTTCTTTCCTCTATAGTGAAGTTCGGGTATATTCTAGGAAAATATCTCTTCAGAAGTTTCTATCACAGAAGCTTGTCGATCGCGTCAATTTTGTTTTGTATAGATGCTTTTAGGCCCTTTACAGTGCTCTATTTCGGCTTCTGATGTACATTTATGCCCGCGAGCTTACGCTTTCCAGATTTCTTATGAGCACAGTAAGAAAACACCTCAAAAACATCCTCTCTCAGCTATTTACTTCTCTGACTTTCACCCACCACCAGTAATGTCACACTAGCATCCATGAGACTGACTGGAATCTAGGTGCTAATAGAAATTCAAACTTTCGCTTCTGCCTAAGCTTTTCTCGAGCTGAGGTTGAAGGCTTCCTTTCTTAATTCACTTTCTACACCCAAACATGCTTTCTCATTCATGAGTGAGGTGAGATGCGTCAAGCTGGGCGCGCTTGCGTACGCGACACGAAGGTATCTATCTATGGCAAGCTTGCAGGAGAGCGCACTATACTTCGAGTGTCAGTGAAAAACGCCGCGAAAAGACCTGGATAAGACAAAAAATGGCAGTTGATAACTTAAACGGACTCTGCCTTTGCTTTCTGAAATGCATATAAGATCTTTCATGGTTTCTAACCTCCATTTCCTAAAAAATGTACCTCTCCTTTTGTTTCAAAGCTGATGGAATGCGGCACAACTCAATTTGCTCCTTTAAAACATCCATACAACTAAATTTTCTATGTCATTTGAACGGCTAAACCTTTTCCTCCACACTGAAAACTTATCCGGAATTGCTCTTCCTAGAAGAAGATATAGCCGTTATTCAAATATTATGATCATGGCAAATACGGGGTAACGTTAGCGGGCCACTTTCGTTTCAAATTAGGCATTTTAGACCTCCTTTTTCGCTCCAAACCACAACCATCGCCTAGGTAACGGTTTACTATAACATCGATACAAAGACCCGGCACCCTTCCTTTTGCCGGGACGCTGCCTTTATTCTGTCATAAAATCTCACTTTTGGGGCCATTTTTGCCAACCAATGCCTTTGTGTCGAGGGAGATTGCTGCGAATCTCAGTGAAAGCCCATTCTTGAGCCTGTGCTTTTGGTATAGTCTTACTCTTGCGCCTGGAGGCTAATGCAGTGGTCCCGGTCTCACTGAAAGCATTATCGAATATATGTAGTGAGGGCTTGGGATTGTTCACATACGTTAGCTCCTATGAAAGAATGTAATGTGCAAGTCATGGTATCCTGAAAGAAGAGACTTGATACTTTTTAAGGCAAAGGGTTAGGGTTATTTCAGAAAAACAGTACAGGTTCTGCCACATTAAATATGCTTTTTGGTTTTAAGGAGAAAACCAAAAATGGCTTGGGAGTGTCGCATTTTGTTTTATGCGACCATCTCAATTATGGATAATCGTAGAAGGACTTGCATTCAATTTGGGTAGATAATCTACGCAACCGATGTATATGCTCCAACAAACTTCTCGTCCCGAAAAGGTTAAAGCAACTTGGTTAACACAATGGACTCTGTCTATCAATGGCATAAAAGTACTAGAATTTCAGCATCATAGCTAATTTACTTCAGAGATCTAATTGAATATCAGTGATGAAGGTTTAGAATTATGCTTACGTACAGCGAATGCTTAGAATAAATTTAAACTCAAAAGCTTCTATTGTCTTTGCGGAAATTTTGGCTATGTATGCAGGAGCACATATACACGGTAATGAGCTCATCACAGGAATTTACTGACCTCAAAAGCATTTAGGACGGACACTCATTTGAAACAGCAAATCTGCAAACAATTTGAGGACATACTGCTGATAGTTTTGCAGGAAACATCTATGATATCGGGTAGCATGAAGGAAACATATTCCTGATAGAGCAAAGCAAGCATCAAGATGACATTTGCTAAATGAAAAACCTGGGAAAAATTCTGAAGATCGGCGGACTTTCGTGTAGAAAGATTCATTCTAATGTAAAGGCCGCAAGCACTAACATCTCTGCCGGGAAGGAGTGAAGCTCAAAAGAAAGCTTCATATTTTGAAGCTCCGGATATCTGGAAACTGACTTCCCTTTGTAAAGGAAAGGAAAAAGAAACACACATATGAATGATCTGATATGTCTAAATGTGCTTTATTCTTAGCGCGTACCTCTTTCCTTGATCTTATTTTGCTGTTTTGATGTTGCAATTGTTGTTATGATCTCGTTTGGTTCGTTTTCGATATAAATTTCCTATTGTTTGGCATGATTTCGTGTGCGCACCCGCCGTCGTGGCGGGAACAGGCGATTGGCGCGGCATGCACATCTTCTCGGCCGCTATATAAGGCGGCTCCGCTTGGTTCAAATCACTTTTTGCCTTCGAGTCAACTGGTGAGCGGTCGGATCAATCGAGGAACCAAGCCGAGGAGGACGCCGACGATAATCGCCTGGAGGATCGCTTCAAGGACCTCTACAACCCTGGACACCACGCCGAGCCCCCGCGATAGCGCCTAGAGTAGGCCTCCTATTGCGTAACACCCTTGAATTTAACGGAAACTTTCCAAAGTTGTGCTGATTGTATTATCTAACCCAATTCGATGTGCTCCCGTTCGATGTGTTTATAGTGAAGGACGGTGGGGATCCTTACGTATAAGAAGGCAGCGTAAAATTCAGATTTCTAGAACTTCAGGTGATGCTTTTTGATCTGCAATCCCTTTCACAGCGGGAATGCAATGCACACAGCACTTGGTGTCATGCCACTATTTTAAATGTGCATGTTGTGCACCTTATCCTTATCATGCGTTCAAATTGTTGTTTCAAGTTACTCTTCCCACTAAATCGTTTCTGCTAGGAATTTTGAAAAAGAGAAGACATCAAAAATGTAAAATTTAAAGGTTTCTCCAATACAAAGAAGGCATGTCTGGAATCCTGACTCACTAAATCCAGCACTGCAAAACTCCTCATTCAATTTGTCGAAGTGGAATTTTCTATCACAATGACAGTTCTCCTTTTTCTTCGTTTCAGGTAAACTTCCGCTAGAAGCAGTTGTAGAAGCAGGTTTCTCTTCAACACTTTTCATAAATTTGCAGATTAAAAAAAAGTAATTGTATTATTACCACCTTCAGATTTTCGAGTAGCGCCAGGCTCCATAACAGAGTAATTTCTAATAAAAGGTCCCACTACACAAAACGGTGGTCTCGAGAAAAAACAAGAAGATGTTTCATGAGGCATATCCGAGATAGCTGCGAGTGCTGCGATGCAACTGCAGATAAGAATCAATCCATTCATTTCTGAATTTGTCGAATTTTAACATTTTCAAACATAATACGCAACTTTAAAAATATTGTACCTATATAATTAATGAACTGCATGCCACGCATAGCGAATACGCAGCTTTTTGGGTTCCACCAAAGTCCTGTTCAAGACTGCGAATGCAGAGGCTTAGGTAGAGTTTGGCGGAAAGACTCCAATCTGTATTGGCTAGTTAGGTTTAGGCTATAAATGCGAAACTCGACAAAATTTACGAAATAGAGCGATGATACGAACGTGCGAGCGGAATTATGAGCTAAATTTGGCACGTTCTCAATAATGAAAAGTCAGTCCCCCTGCGTGTACAGAGCACAATATAATGATTTCAGCGTTTATTTGCACTTGACAGGGACACGCTTTGATGCTCTGAAACGAAACCATCTTGTTGTTGTTGGGGGAAGTGAATCATCAATGTTTAACAGATCGAGCCTTCAGCCTTTTTCTACTCATGGTCACACTCAATGCGAAGGTACCATTTGATTCAACTGGCTTGGCATCGGCAAAGGCGGGGCTTCGTGACCTAATTAAGGCTAGGTAATGATCAGAGAGCACACGCGCGAGAGACGCAGGTGCGTCGCGGACGCGGGAGGCCTCAATTAGATCACAAAACCCCGCCCTAGTGGGGTCAAGCCAGTTGAATCAAATGTTAGTGTCTGTTTACCTAAGTCACTTCGGAACACCTCGCCAGTTCTTTGAATTTCTTTGCGCTGGATCATAGACGCTAAATTCTGCTCCATTTGATATTCTTACAATGTTTTTTGATGAGATTACATACATATCGTAATATTACTGTCACAATGCTATTACTAGCACAAAAATTTGGCTAAATTTTGTGCTACATAGCCTAGTCGTCATCTAGCTATGTAAAACCTGATTGCTCACATCGTAGCTTGAACACCAGCATAAGGGTCGTCACCAGGCACTGTAGATCCACTTTTAATCAAGAATTCGTCCGTCCATCTTCGGTGCTGTTTTCAAAATAGTAGAATATGTTTTGACAAATACTTCAGAATTTCGTAAAAAATACATCATAGAAATTGCGCATTCATTGTGACAAGCCCACTGCTCTTCCGGACCCAGCGCCTCCAGCCGCACTGCGCTTCGGTGTTTAAAGCTAGGTTCGAGTAATTGGATTTTACATGGCTTATATCTGCAGTAGCGGGGTTGATGAAAGAGTACATAATTGACTATGACTACAAAAAGAATCTTATGTACAAAAATCTTCGACTAAGAGAAGAACAGAAGTTATGAAAGTTGTACTTTTGGGTGTATGTAAGGAAAGATCAAAAATTCATAAATCAAAACCGAAATTTTTTTTACGTAATCCGGGCTTTATATAAGGTAGTTCGAAAGTTCTTTCTGTTTTTTTTTCACATGCCATAAAGCACGGGAGTAAAAACGGACAAACACATTTCGAAGATTCTTTGGTGCAGTCATTCTCTTTTCAACGGTCGTGTTTCCAAACCATCTGCTTTTGTGTTCACTCAGATATTCGTCAACATTTTGAACTCATGGTTTTTACTATACCCAGATTTGGCAATTTTTCAAATTTGGTCTCACTTTGAAAGAGCTGTACCCTATTTTCAGGTGTATAAGCCGCGGGGTGGTCCTAGTTTACATCGACCAGCCCGAACACATCAAAGGAAGTCGCAACCAAAGGACCCTATACCGTGCTGCCTATTGGCTGAAAGGATCGTGTGGCTTAAGGATCCTTCTAACACAATGAAGCGGCTGAGCAGCTCACTTGAAACTTTAAAAAATGCGGTTTGTACACCTGGGCCGGTAGTAATCCCCCCGACCTGGCGGCATGTCTCGTCGGCAGGTCGCTGGCACGTTTTCCGTGAGGTGGCCAGAAAGTGAGACTCCAAATTTAGACCGTCCCAGGCCTTATTCCAAAAAATTTTCTCGATAAAGATGCCGCCTCGACTCTGCAGAAAACTTTATAAAAGTCTGCGGTTCCAGAACTCCTCCTTTGGTAAAATATCTGGAAGCGCAGGAGGAGCTGCCGGCAACTTCGCGATGTCAGTTGCCGGCAACCTGCCGGCAGCTCGTCGAAATCCGCGAGATGGCAGCTGCCGGCAGGTCAGAGAGCACGGAAATATCGTGCTCTTTTGAGAGAGGGAGCTGCCGGCATCTCGACGTGCCCCTACCACGTCAAGGTGGTGGCACCTTTGCCGACGGCGTCTGTGAGATTGCGAATTGCGGCGATATCACACAATTTACGTCAGGCGAAAATAACAAAAAATTCACTTTCCATCCAAAAACCTTCATTTTTCTCAATATATGAGTTTTTCTTGTTTAAAACGACGATTTTCTAACAGAGAAAAAATCTAGTAATGCCTTAAAACCATAAGGAACACCGTCTTTTTTTGCAATCCTTTCTAAATCTTATTTGCACCGATTTGCCCCTCTCTCGCTCATATCAATCAGCTGTTCTTCTAGGTCAAAGTCTCTCGCGCAATGTATCGATCCTTCTTACAGGCGGCCATTTGCCAGTGCGTTGCTCATATTGCTGATGCAAACGGCAAGGACTGACCGAATGTTCGAGTGGGCAACGTGGCAGCACTTGAAGTTAGCACACTTAGGTTCGACCGCGCGCGAGACAGCAGTTTTGCGGCTGTCTACGTTATCAAAATTTGATGAGCGAAATAACCGCGTACTACGGTTATATAAGATTAATATTAGAACCTACAATCACTCCGCGAGCTGCCGGCGGAGTTGGCATCTTTCCGCGATGTATGCCAACTTGCCGGCATCTATGATGCCACCAGGTAGGGTAGATTACTACCGGCCCTGAAAATAGAGTAATAACAGATGGATAGAGTAACGCAACAAATTTATTGAGCATTTCCGATTGGTTTTCCAATTTTATCAAAATCGTTAATTTAGAGTCTTCGTTTTTTTCAAGTTCGTCGCGAATGCATAAAACGCCGAATCTACGGTATTCAAACGTTTCAAAAACCGATTATCATGAAATGTTAATATTACAAACCGAGCGTTCATAGCTTCAAGATATCGAATTTTGACTCGGGTACAGCTATGGAAACCTCCAAAAATTTACAATTTGGATGATTCTGAATCGAGAGTTTCACAAGTCGGAAAGAAGAACGAGGAGAAGAAGCTGCGTCGAACAATACCCGAGTTGCTCTTCGGTTGATGCTCTCCGAGGTTTGGTTCAACCGGATATAAATTTGTTAGTGTTAGAAATGTAACTTCGGTAATTCTAAAAAGTCATCTGGAGATGCAAATAAATCTACAGCGTTGCACTTTATTTGCTGTATGCAGCTAATAAGTTAACACTTCCAGGATTTGAAAATAAAAAATTTGAGAAGCTATCAAACTTGGGCATGTTAAAAATTTGGCAAGTTTCCGCAATTGTCCTAGTAATTAAAAAGCAAATGGTCGATTACTCAAAATGTTTGCTTATCCTTTCCACGTTTACGATAGACCGAAAAATGAAAAGACTTTCCCTTAGCCCCGTATGCATTTTCCTGTTTCAATTCATTCTTGCTTTTTCACTGCATTGTGGTATTCGAACTCCATGGACAAAGTGGATGGCATTCCCGCTATGTTGCACTTTTGTTATGAGCAGCTTCATGTAGCATTCAATAGCTATTCAGTTCGTTTTGCAGAATCCGTAAATATCCTTGAAAGCAGTTTTGCGTGTGTGTTTTAATTAGAAAACTTGAAAACTTATTGAACGTTAAAGACAGCGCCCCGCATTCCAATTTCTCACCTATTCGGAACCTTCTCGCCATGAGAAACCCATATCTGGGATTTTTAAAGCACGAAATTGAGGAAAATGAGCCTTTTTCGAAGCAAATAATTTTGGAGAATTAAGATTGCAGTTGAAATCGGACTAAAAGCGCTGGTCGGGGACGGCATCCATAAATTAAATACCATTGCGATTCAAGCAGGGATAGAAAAGCTACCATACACCATCCACGCAATGTTTGGCGAAGGTTTCGAAGCTCGTGAAAGATTTCTCAGATAAGTAAAAAAAGAAATTGTTAAAACTTTTCATGTCTCCATTTGATTCGTCATCATACAAAAGAAAAATTGCGCAACTTACAAACTTGTCTTTGAGTGCCTCATAGAGAAATGGGAAATCGGAGTTTTTGAAATGTTATGAGAAGGTGATAAGGTTTTACGTATATTATTCAATTATTTGGAAATTTCTTAAATTTCAGGCCGCGATTAAGGCAGTTAGGGAAACTTTCCCTAACGTACAGCTTTAAGGTTGTGCTTTGATTTAGCATAAGCCTGGAATCGGGTGGCCAAAATGCCTAGGCCTAGGGCAGTTCATTAAGCGAGCAAAAAAGTCAGATCTCTATCTAGGTGGCGGCACACAACAAAAGGGATAGCATTTCTCCCCAAGGAGTTTAGTAGTAGAGAGCCAGTGCTGTAGTAGCCTTCAGTCAAAGGCAGCGTCCGGGCAAAATTTCGCCTCACATGTTTTTGTCATTTTAGGACCTTTCCGTGGTCGTGATTACTGTTACGAAGTTCAAATTCTCCAAAACCCTCAAAAATCCGATTCGTAGGGACCCTTTTTAAGGGCGTGGACGAGTTTCGCATTGTCGGCTCGCCAGCGGGGAGGAGCTGCAGCTGCATGGGGGACAGTTGCACTCCATGGTCGATCGATGCGCGAGCACATGTCCTCAGGGGGAGGTTTGTGATATGAGGGGCGGTTTGTGATACGTATCAGAGGCCCGTATCTCCTTTTAGAGGCCACGTCAAAGAATTGGACCAAAGCAGATCGGATACTCATGGGGCCCGCTTCACAACTGTTTCTATCTGGGTGAGTGGATCTTGTCTGGACGCTGCCTTTAACACTAGGCACCATTTTTACGAGCATGTAAAAATTTTAGAATGTCTACGCGAAACATGGTTCGAGGAAGGGGGGTCTGAAGCACACGTGGTACAAATATTACATAGAAGAACGAAGAACTACTAATGCGGCCGAAGCATTGCGTAGTATATCTGATTTGCTTCTTGAAATTTTCTTAATTCTGCCGTAAACTGGTTTTTTGGAGTTTGACAAGAATCTCAAAACATATTTCGAAGTAGTGGC